CCGTGCTGGACGGGGCTCCGTGCCAGCTGAGCTGCAACGTGAAGGCTTCCGAGAGTCCGGCCATCTCCTGGGTGCTGCCCGACGGCTCGGTGCTCACGGCGCCCACCGAAGACCACGGCGGCCGGTTCTCCATCCTCACCAGCGGCTGGCTGAAGATCACGTCGATGCGGCGGTCAGACTCCGGTCTGTACCAGTGCGTGGCTCAGGTGAGGGATGAAACGGACCGAATAGTGTACAGGGTCCTCGTGCAGCCGCCTGTCACTCAGCCCCCGGATGGAGAGACGGTGACGCTTCAGCGGGACGCAGGGGAGGCGCTCACGCTGCCTTGCGATGCGCTGGCCACCCCCGAAGCCCAGGTGTCCTGGATTCTTCCCAACGGAAAGATGATCAGTGACTCGGCTAACTCATCGCACGCGTACGTGTTGGCCAACGGGACGCTCTCCATCCCCAAGGTCCAGCCCGGCGACGGCGGTTACTACAGGTGTGTGGCCGTCAACCCGCTCGGCGCGGATCACTTTGCCGTGGCGGTCTCGGTGAGGAAGAAAGGCCCTGGACGGTCGTCAGCGAAGAGAGGCCGACGTCCGGGCGGGAAGACGGCGTCCAGGCCGCGGGATGTGGTGGAGGACGAAGGCGGATCCGCAGATGACGCCATCTCCGCGAGCCGTCTGCACCCGAAGGACCAGGAGACGTTTGTCATGACGAAGGAGGAAGCCACCGTCGGGGGTCACAAAGCCAAGAAAGGCAGACGGAAACTGAAGGGCTGGAAGACCCCCCTGAAGGAAGCGGACACGGGCGTCGCCGAGGGTCGCAGAGTGTTCGAGTCGCGACGGAAAATACACATGGCCAACAAGCAGATCACTCCGGAGCGCTGGGCAGATATCTTAGCCAGAGTGCGTGGGAAGACGCTCCCGAGGGCCACGGGAGGGCCCGACGTCGTGGCGGCGGCCGCCACGCCTCCCTCGCTGGGTCCGGGGGCGAACCCCGTCTTGCCAGCCGTCCCTCCTCCGTTGGTGACACCGGCCCAGACCGCAGCCAGCGCCGAAGAGTCGTCGGCAGACGCGTCTCTGTTTGCAGAGGAAGAACAGGGTTTCAGCCCTGTTCCCACGACCAGGGGGGGACCAGGGCGCGGCCGCGACCGAGTGATTCTCGCCGGAGCCCAGGGGACAAGCAGAGACCCCGAAGTCTTCATCGACGATGTGTTTCCTGAGAAGGACGAGGATGCCACTTGGGCTAACGTTGACTCCCTGTGGGCTCCGGCCACCACGCGGATGTCTGTCCCTTATGAATCCTACTCCGCGCTGAGCACCGTGGTCACGGCCTACGAAGGGCCCACCAGGGCAAACGCGGGCGCAGAAGCCCGGTCGCCTACGGACGCCGCATCCCCGCCAGCGCCTGTGTCACGAGAGGACGCGTCTCCTTCGGACCTCAGCTCTTTAGCTGCGTCTGAGGCGGTGCCTCCCGTTCACGCAGAATCAGAGCTTAAGTCACAACCGGATGAACACGAGACGAAAGGACCGTCCCCCAGACACTCGACTCCGATCCTGACCTTGTCAGCCGTCGACTCCGGGACACCGGAGCCAGTGGAAGACGTCTCTTTGGGGGATTGGCAGGTCCCAGCGGAAACACATCTACAAGAACAAACAGACAACCTGTGGCTTGAGAAAAACGGTTTCAGGACTCAGGACAATGCACGGAGGACGAAGGGCACAGAGAACAACTCTCTGGGTGTGCGCGAAGGAGGCGAGCCGGGCGCAGACGCCGCGCCCTCCAGAAGTCCAGACACGGAGAGGCCGGGCGTCGTGTCCACCGCCTTGACCGACTCTTCACGGGGAGCGAAGAACACCATGCTCGGTCCCCAGGACAGCGCGCTCCGTCCTCCAGTTGAGAAAAACACCGCCACCGTGGCCGTGACGGTGCCAACTGAGAAGTCGCCCTCGCCGTCACCGCCGGCCACGCAGCCGCCTCGAAAGAGACCCAACGGGAGGAGGAAGTTACGGCCCCACAAGTTCCGACCCCAGGATCTGCAGACGCCGCCCGCGACTTCTGCCCCAGCGGACGCGGCTCCTGCTCGGCCGACTCCGGCTCCGGCCGTGACGGTCACAGAC